CTTGTTAAATGTCAATTAAATTATTTGTATTCATCAATAGCATAGGATTAGACTTGGTTTGATTGTAAAAATCATAGATTGCATTCACATCATTTTCATCATCTACATTTTCCGAATCATAAAAACAAGGATTGTCATCATGATCAACAAATAAAGTCACTTTAATGTTTCTGGTGAGTAAATCTATAATGTCTTGTTTTAGTGATAAAGTCTGACTTATTGTGATTAATAAAGAGACTTCTTTGAGGGTTACTAATGAAAACAAATTTCTTAAAAAATTTTGGTCGCCATAATACGAATCATGTATTATTGTCAACCGTCTTAAATTTGTGAGCATAGAAATATTGTTACCAATAAAAGTGTCACTGTCTTCAGTAGACATGTCAGTCACAAGTGGTAATAAGTTAATGTCGTGTGGCCTGTCATTAGCTCTTCGTTCAAAAATAAGTGCTTTTAAATTTGGGAATAAGATTATTAAATTTTTAAAAGTAATGAAATCATTATAACAATCGGTTCGAATATTAAGGGTTTCTATTTTTGGGAATAACTTTGACATTTTAATTAATGTTTTTTCATTATATTCAATGTTGTATGGAGTTGTGTAAAATGATTTTATAGCATCAAGACACAATTTGTTTACAAATACAAGATTAACAATTGATTCCAAATCCATATAAAATACAACATTCATGAGGTATATCCTTTCAAGTCGCATTTATAATTTAAATTGAAAGTTGTTCTATTATTTATAGATGGTCCTAGAGCTTAGACATTTTATGAGGTTACATAAATACATTAAATAACCAAATTTGTTTTAATGTAAATTATATATTATAATTATTTTGTTTTAGTTAAATGGGCAATAGTTGACTGATTATATGTTATTATAGCTATTCGGCGACTTTTAAGTTTTTTTAGAAATAGGCGGCTTATTGATGATATATAAAAATGCCGAACAGCCATTAGCTTTTTTAACACAAAATATAGTTAGTTTTTTTATTACAACTAAAGTCTGTTTTTAATAAACAAATGTTTTTAAAAAATACGACACATTAATTTACTATATTTGTTTTATTATATTATAATTGATAAAGTCAATCCAGAAACTTTATTTATTGTGTTAACTTTATTTGTTTTATATAGTTGTTTTTAAATATAATTGTTACAACTTACGAATGAAGATATAATTAAAATTATAAAATATTATAATTAATATAACGTGAAATTGAAAGACTGAAAAGAAAGCAACGAACATCAGCTGACGCATATGCAGTGGAGGTCAAAAAGAGAGGCTTGTATT